TCTTCAGCTACAAATTGTTCTTATTTTGCAAATCACCATGCTAAATATTGCGCTGAAGATGTTGTCCAGAAAGACGACGAATGCTCCCCAACTAAACCAACAAGTATGGTTAAATTTTGTTTTGATAAAGTCTCACAGTGTTATACAGTAATGTTTACTGATGATGTTTCGAGCACAATTTATTGCTCACAATCATATCATACCAACCAACCAGCTTAGAGAACACTATTAATTGCAAATCACTATGTTATGACAGATAATACTTCTTGGCAGATTATTCACAGCATCAATCACCAAGACAACAATGTCCCTGTGCACGAAATAAGATAGAAGACGAACCGTTAGTGAGAGATTTAACTATCTCATGCTACAGTCCAACTGTTACATAGTAATAATACACTATAATGGAGGAGATTTGTAGCTCAGGTTAATGATTTTGATGTGCTTGTGTTTTCTGAGCTCAATAGTTGATTCGCGAAGCTTTCATCCCCCTACTAGGCAACATCTTCAGCGCACACCACTTCAATTTGAAGCTCACTTCACGTGGTATATATATATATATATATATATATATATATATATATATATATATATATAATATACATGGGGGGTTTGGAAGACAGAATCAATCAGCAGACTAAATATTGGTTGACCCGATGTCACTTAGCAGGCATTCTTTGAAAAGATAATATCATCTGATATGCCTAAATATAGATCTTCATATTAACACAATATTGAGGGCATACAACAGCAAAACCAGAGGTATATCATATACTTTTCACAGATTGGTTGACCATACCAATTTTTTACTCAGTTCAAAATTTGCACATTTTCAGATGTTTCATAAACCATGAAACAACTTACAGTTTTGTAATGTTTCTTAATGTTTTTTTACAGAGCCAAGACGATCTATATTTTGTAAAATGAATATTTTGCGTTTTCTGTAGAAATAATGGCGAATTTTCACTTCACTCTTTACTTTGGAAGTGACAAAGTTTATCCTGTTCTTTGGTTCAAGTACACATAAACATATATTCAAGTGTTGGTTTATAGGGATTTGATTGGCTACAGGATTTCATCATGAGCTGACACTAGTTAGAGAACCATTGAGAAACCTGGAAGTACTGGACAGCTGTTTCGTCCTAGTTTGGGACTCTTCAGCAGTACGCACTTGATCAAATGGTCCATGAATTCTAACTTCTGCCTATTCACGACATAATGCAACCCCCAGACGATGTCTTCGCCAAATATTTGTCCTCACACTCTACCTGCTGCATCCTACTGGTCACTTCTCAGACAAAACAGCTGTCCAGTACTTCCAGGTTTTCCAATGGCTCTCTAACTAATGTCAGCTCATGATGAAATCCTGTAAACTTCGCTGACTTATAATAAACTGTAAAAGGATCCTCATCTCTAAACCTTCATTTTCACCACTATCAAGAGTGAAGCAGCAAACAATTCGGTCTTATCTGATAATTTTTATAAAAATCTTTTGAAACAGGATGTCAGTGGGATCGACAGAAATCACTTTGAGAAATTCTGTCATTTTTCATTGAATTTAACAACAGCCGTCAATTGTTTTAGTTCAGTGTAACAGCACAGTTGAATATATACGGCATTATACACTCCGGATTATCCGCTAAATACACCAAAATACTCAGGCTCAACTGTAAAACGTTTATTAACCAGTCAGAAAAAATATAATTCTGACACTATAAATTTTTGTTATTCGATGGCTGGTGGTATTCAGAAGAAAGTCTTTAACCTAAGTTTCGTGCTTTTACCAGTATGGCGTATCTACAATCTTGAAGTAACTCATATCCTTTCTGAGATTCTAACCCGGGTCACTCAGTGGTTCATTCAGAGATGTTACAACTGAGCTAGTGGGACTCGCAACTCATCTCCTATCAGACTGTGTTGGAAATTTTGGTTGGACACTAGGGAGTAACCAATATCATTCATCTAACACTTTGTTTGGTATGGACTGAATTCTGCGAGTGATTGCTGCCTTTTATTCTAAACATTTCTTATGTTACGATTTTAATAATAATAATAATAATAGCTTTGTTCTAAACATGGAATTTCCAGCATGTAATACAATATTGCATCTAATTTTCTCATTACAGGGGCACTTATTAAAATAGGCCATTTACATTATGAGTGATTTACACTATTAATATTGTTCAATAAGAAATCAATATAAAATTAAATCAAGTGAAAAAAATTAGCGAAATGTAATAATGAGCACAGAATGCAATACCGTTTACTTAGAGTTCTTCAGGTAGTTGATAATTCCCTGTCTTACGTTTTTCTCGTCACATAGCATGCGTGCCTGCAAAATAAGGTATTGTAGAGTTTTTGTACTTAGCCGTGCGAGCATACAGTCTTTTATAGTTGCTTCTAGTTCTACCCGATGGGATGCAAGGAGAGAGTTGTGCATGGAGAGGATATTGAGAGCCTGGCGAGATAATATTTGCTAATTTCTTGCAGGAATCCAAGTGTCTATCTACAATAGTATTAACGAGTTGGTTTAACGGCTTTTGATGCCGTTGTCAGTAAAGGATTATAAGCAGAATACAAGAATAAACAAACGGTTACAGTAGAGACTGAATGATACCAGATCGTCTTAACTTCCTTACATAGAACAGAAAATCTTTCAGGAAACTAACATGATATAGGAAGACTAGGAAAGGTGATCAGTGGAAACACGCAGTCCAAGGTATTTAACATTCGATTTGGTTTCAACTTCACTGTCATCCATGATTAGGGAACTGAGCTAACTAACCAGTTTGCGTAGTTCGCACTTGCATCTGGCTAAATGTAGAGCTGTTATGACATTCTAAGACGGTTGTTAGTAAAATAATGTTATACATCCCACTGATGAACTACTTCAAGAACTATCGATAAAATAAACTGAATAAACAATAGAAATATAGTGGCTAGACACAATTCAACAATCTTATTGAATGACTCATTCATCTCATGATAACTAAATTATCGTATGACTACAGGGAAATAAAAAAAACAATTTATCATGTGCCGACTGCTCAGTTTTACTAAATATTAAGCGTATGCAAGATTTGCAGACAGAAACAATGGTCACATTTCTATATCTCAGAATAGATATTAGCTTCCTTTTTGCATATATGAACTAAAAGCTTTTATGCAGACTGTTATGAAATATTTTAAATTTCCACTCTGTTATGAATGAAGCAAAAGGCTTTAATGCAGTACATTCTCTAATGTAGTTAGCTAAATGTACGAAGTATTGGAGAATAAGAAACAGTTTTATACACTTGGTAAATGTTATAATTTACCAACAGAGATTGAAATAAAACTCGTATCACTTGGTTTCATTGCATATATCGTATGTATTTACAATCAACAAATTTCTAGACGAAAACAAAATACTCCTGTTTGCTTTTATCCTCCTCTATTTCAAGTAGATTTTTTGCGTAAAACTTAGATAATTAAAAATTCGTTTAGAAAGAATTATTTATTTCTTTATTTTATTCTTTTACGTTCCCAGTGGAACATAGGGATTCCATCTAGAGTTTTGAAGTTTTGGTAGCAGTGGTATTTATTTTTACGGGATAGGATTGCTAGCCTCATGCCCAGTCTTCCCTTTTTATCGGTGTTATAACCGGCTTAGAGAAGCGTAGGAGTGCGTCTGCCGGGGATTGAACCGCAAACTACATACATGGTGGGCGAGCATTCTGACTCTAAGCTCTAAATAAAAGTGTGCCATTACAAAAGAAATATACATTCGTACGACTTACAGTAACAATGATGCGAAAAATCCAAGTTTAATTCACCATTCCTCCTAAACTCAACCGTTTAGCATAAATTAATTTAAACTGAAAGACCACGTTTTAAGTGATTCTTCTTTTTTCCATAATTTTAAACTCTACTCATTTCAACAAGACAAATAATAGACATTGCACAGAAAAGTATCACGACACGTCAGACTCAGAAAAATTATCTAAACGGCTTTTATTCAGGTGACGCATAGCAACACAAAATTCAACTGGAGATTCTGTAGGTTAATAATGTTACAGAAGGTCAGTTGCCAGCCCGAATAACTCAGCTGTGACGTCTCTGACTGCAGGCGGCACTGGGTGACACGGGTTCGAATCTCAGAAGGTACATGAGTTCTTTCCAGGTTGAAGATACGCCTTGCTGACTGCTGAGCGTCAACTAGCACGAAACCTAGGTTCAAGACTTCCTGTGGCCGATTGCCTCCAACCATCTAATATCATCAAATCAATGTTCACCGTGATGGTGAGCTACCTAGAATGGTGGCCATCTTGCAAACCTATCTGATAGAATTCAGTCTGAACCAAAGAAAGAACTAGACACATCGCACCAGTTACTAGTGTTCAATAAAATCTATGAAACTTATTCAATTGTTACCGAATAGAGGAAATTTCAAGAGTCAGGTTTATTTGCAGAGTCCTGTCCACTAAAAAGAGAAGCTGTTCATGTGAACAAATATGCTTTATTTTGAAGTTCAACATTTTCAGAATTTTCTGCTTTACAGAATTGTGTAAAGTTATGGTTAAACACAAAAACCAAACACTGAGATCTTCAATTATGCATGCTTTTCGTCTTGAGGTTTTTTGTCTTCCTTTCATGCTTTCTAGATTGTTCCATAAGAATCTTTCATTTTTCCTCTTCACCACTTAATCGATATCTCCTCTATCTAGTATGCCCTGTATAAAACATCACAGACAGTATACTACTTGCCAAATTGTATCAGTAGCACACTCTAGAGAAGCTTTATAGTCCATAAGGTTTTCATGGAAATGCACGTGTTAAATCAAAAAATTCGTTACTATAATTTGGGCTAAAACATCACTTTTTATTGTACAAATAGTTGCTTTCATAATGTAAGAGAGTGAATCCAGTTACATTTATGTAGAAGTAATATACATCATAAAGTCATAAATGAGTTTAATCAATCAAATGAAAACTATAGAAGCAACGTCAAGAAAACTCACCAGTCAGCAGCACTATTTTGTCGTACATGCATAACAGTTAATGGTCGAATAAGCACTGGTGTTTTATTCCATCCACCACGAATCACAAGACCAACACCTTCAGATCCGATTTTTAAATTTATAACCATATGTTTAACAATACATCCAACAGGAGCTATACAACAGTGGAAGTATAAAAAAGGGTAAACTCTACATTAAAAAGGTATGCAAAGAAGTAGACAAGATATGCATTGTAGAAGTTATAAAGAATATGAAACTGTAGACTTCTAAGCTACCCATTTATAAACTTATCCAATAAGACATGCGCGTCTAGCTATACTGAAGCTGAAATCCATCGTCTAATCTTCTCTAACTAAGATGAGCATACCATAACATTTACTTGTAATAATAAACATTAGGAGGTATACTGACTGTATAATACCGCTTCACTGAGAAAGGAAGAGGAGGAGGTATAGAGACTGACAACATATAATCTCTTTGGTACCAACTATGTACAACTAGAGAAATTTCTTCTTTTCACCTCGGGACACATTTTTGAGGTGTATCACTTAGAAACCTGTACTTGATTAAACTATAGTGAACAAATTATCACAAATATATTGTGTCCTACGAACGCTTTTCTTCAGATTTACAATACTAAACGGGGAAGACATTTAAAATCATCATACGAAATCTGGTTGTGACTATTTATCTAGTGGTTTGTAAGACATTCCATTTTAATTTCTTTATTAGATATATCACACGGTGAAATGGTATCGTTTACTGGATGACATTTCGAACAAAATTTATTGTTCATAATCATATCAATTGTAATCACAGCACCTCAAAACTTCAGTTGTATACGTTTCTTCATTTCCTTGTATTCGTCTAAGGGTTAATAGAATTTTCCAGATATCTGAGACAGGTGTTGACTCTTTTCTATTACATGTATTTTCAGTTGATTCGACATACAACTCTCCTGTTATCAATCTCTCCATCCACCATTTTACATCAGATTTTAAAACTGTCATCTTATCCCATCCTATTGCATGGTTGTGTGTAATTGCATGTAGTGAGTGGCACAGCTGAACTATTCTCCAGATTTCTTATCTCTTACTAGGGTGAAGTGATCTTTATTTCGCTAGGTTTCTGGGCTCCGCTAGTCTGACTAACCCTGTTCTTCTACTGTGCCCTATCTATCTGATGTGACAATCAACGCAGACAGAGCAAACTAAATTGTTTTGTTTAATTGTCTCCACTGGCAGGAGTCTTTAACCGACAAAGCTTGTTTCTAATTGAGTTTGTGGAGGGGGGTTTAAATCCCATTTTTACTGCTGTCTTGTTGAGAATTCTGCGTTAGGTTTCCGAGGTTCCTTCTTTGTATGTAAGTACTACTGATGATTTATATCCCCTATTGTTGATTTGTAAGAAACCTTTATTTTCAATTAAACATTTGCACTGAATGAATTTATGGAAATATGAATAGCATTTAGTCAAGCAATAAAACAATAATAAAGTTGTACTAGCGTATGTCCACTAAGTGTAATAATGATATCGAATTGAACGTGTGGAATTGTCGATGGACTTTTTGGTCATTATTAGAAAATTCTTTCAGAAAAATAATAAACACTTTATTCTAAACAATATTAATTATGCAGAATGGAATTCTAAGTGTTGTACACTTTTCAACAACTTGTCTCCTTTTTCAAATAAATAAATACATAAAATAATAAAACCACAAAAACCGAAAGTCAATAGAAGGATAAAAAATCTAATAAGAGTGCCGTTTATAAATTACTCTTTATTTAGAGACTAAAAAGTACGTTTACTAGTTCATTTCTTCCATTTCCCTCTTCATACGAAACCTGTACTACATATGGTATCGTTAAAGTTTTATATTTCATCATCCAAGCTTAAATTCTCGAGAAATTTCTTCTGAATTTACACAAAGAGATACAGGGAGGAAGTTAGGAAGGATGTGAAGGATGTTTAGTATCAGACAAGATTACCTGAGCCAGTTGCTTGCAAAAATTGAAAAAACTATCGGCAGAAATGTCAGTTATTTAAGTCGATGGCATACCTTTAACCGTTCTTCCTTGGATCCTTCAAAGTCCTACGTAGTATTGTGGTGGTGTGATAGAGACAACTGGTTCCAACGAAATGTTATTCTCACAGTAAGATCATCGTATTTGCTGGTTTTGACGTCTGAGTACTATTCCTTCAGTTCAGGACTGCATTAACAACAGACAACTATATGTATGTGATCATTCTATTTCATGTCGTTTAATGCAAACAGAAATCACACGCTCAGTGACTGCTTAAAGAATATAAACTGTATAGATATAAATAGCTGCCCAATCACTTGAAAATATATCTTGACTTCCGTGTCTTGCCGTCTGCTGTTACAGTATAACACAGAACGTTCTGATAACCCCAGGGAAGAATACGAAGGAACAATTAAGAAGAATGGGCCGAATATAAGAATTGATAAGGTGTAAGAGAAGTGGATGAGTCATGCGAAGTCTCAAATTCCTTATGTAATAAGTGAAGGTCAAGATATTTTTAGAATTCAACAAAGTATGAAACGATCAGCAAAGATTTGAAGGGAAACCGTTACCAAGATAGGCTATATTCGATTCACTCCCTAACACAAAGTTCACAAAGTTTGCATTATTAAATTTAGGCGCATTACTTTCTGTTAAACGTTTGACTAACCCCCTGATTTAAGCAAGGTCAATTCATCAGGAAATTTCAGGCTAACAGTGTAAATGAATACATTCTCTGCTTCGCATACTGTGTATTTAATTAATTCACTAATCTAAACGGCATCCTATTAACCATAAACCCTTATCTAGTCAGAGAGTAGACTCACATTCACATTAAAAAAATTAATGTTAACTTATCATTCTTATTTTCACTTACGTAGTGCAGGTAATTCATAACCAATCTCCATTTGTATTTTTGATCCAAATTGTTTACCTGAGTTTGAAGTTTCACCTGATCCACTTGAGAAATTTATTGATAAAATATGATCGTATGGCAGGAAACAGTCACTTCTGTAAAGTATCAGTAATAAAAACATATCGAAATTAAAAGAATGCGTGAACAGGTTTTCTACAAGCAATATTTATACCTATTTTAATGGTTGGCCTCATGACAACATGTTTAATTTACAAATATACAAAATTCGATCTCTTATCTCATTTGACAGAACACTACCTGAAAGTTACTGGTTTCAAATCTACTGTGACAGAGGTTTTTTGAGTTTGGCCACATATTGATATCAGTTAGAGAACCATTGAAAACCAGGGAGTACTGGACAGCTGTTTCGTCCTAGTTTGGAAATCATCGGCAGTACGCATCCACAGCCAGGGTTTGAACCCAGAACCTTCCTGTTAAAAGGCGAGCTGGTATGCCATTCAGCCACTGTGACTTGATTCGATGGCTCATGAATTCTAACTTCTACCAATCCGTAGAGAGAATAAAAAAGAAATCTAATCCTTTCAAACAGACTCTTGAAAACTAATCTTATACCTGCCAGTGACTTGCTACAGGTCGGAGTTTGCTGGAGTTCTAGTGGGAAGTTGTGACCAATGAGGTCGATCCAGTCAAGCGTGAGGATTGATGTCCCACCAATGACATTGTTTGGTGGTCGTGCTAAATCACCAATTGGTGGAAGCTAGAATTCATGGGTTGGTCATTTACTCGGGTCTCAGAGGCTGAATGGTATACGAGTTTCTCTTGTAACCGGAAGATCCTGGGTTTGAATCTCAGTGATTCTCAAGTTAGGATGAAATAGCTGTCCTGTACTTCTCCGTTTTCAATAGTTCTCTAACTGATACTAATCCGTGGTCAAAGTCGAAAAATACATCTAGTCCTTACAAATCAACTCTCGAAAATACAGGTTTTCATTTTGTTCCTATCATATTTATTTGTTTATCTGATGAGATCATTGTGAAAGTAGACGAAAATTTAAACTCACCTTATGAGTAACTTATTTTTCGAAAAATGCTTAACAACCTACGACAGAAAGATGAAGTACCTGGACTAGCCACTTCAAATTGTATCTACCAATTCAACTGCGCTTGTGGGGCGAGTTATATTTGCTGTTGCTCTAGGAACTTGATTTTTCGTGCCCGAGAACATCTCCCATTATGGCTAAGTAAAGGTGATACAAACGGGCCATAAAGCCAGCGTGGAAGAATCCTTCTCTATAACCTACCAGGTGCCTAATAAATTGCCAAAATCATCGAAGCACCGCTGGCTCCGAACAGCGGAGGCTATTGCAATTCGCCTCAAGCAACCAATGCTCTGTGTTCAAAAGAAGCAACTCCAGCCAGCACTACTACTGCCCTGGCCGGCCTTCAGTAGAGACTATAAATTCATGAGTTTGTAATATTATCTTTCCTAATTTTTCTGACATTCAGCTTATTTTATGCTGATGCCATTGTGCTGTAATCTACCAATATTATTGGTTCGATGTTATTTAAACACCATTAATGTTGTTCATAGCACCAATTCATTCATTCACTGTAATGTATATATAACTGTAGAGCCTGATGATGAAGTTATCGAAAAAGTACTCTTTGTTCGGTACCATTCTTTTGAAAATCACTAAATACATGCCTAGGTATCCAGGGTTAATTATATTACCTCTCTATTATCACTATCACTTTCAATGCAAGCAGATATCAGTTCCTCAGTGTTAAGTAAAACAAGTGAATTCAACTGTTTAAACCAAAGTCAATCTTTTTGCTTTCTGAATAACTAATCGAACATTCAAAAACTAAATGTTATCTTATCAATGAAATCAGCCAAAGCGTTAAGTTCACACTTTACATTTAGACATTAAAAAGTTTTCTGATGATCTCTGGCTATTCATTAAGTAAATGAGGACTAGTGTTTTCACATCTATACATTTCTCTCTTTTCAATGAAAGGATATCTCTCCTTCTTATCTGGTAAAACTTAAACAATGGATATTTATTTCTACTTGAGTGAATCTGTGACACAGAATAAAGTGGTATTTTTAAATAAAAAATGAATTCTGGTCAAGTGGAAGTGAACAGAGCTTTCGATATCGGCTAAGAATTGTTTGTATCTGTGTATATATGTATGTATGGATAAATGGTTGGATGAATGGATGGATGGATTTCGCTTTGCTTTCGGCAACCAAAAAATTCCCTGAGTTAATGACTAATCGATATCAGTCAAAAAACAAATCATAACAAATAATGAATAATAACCGGTCGTTTTATTTTTCTCTTTTCATCAGTATTTACTTAGGTATGTATACTCACTTAAAAAGTGTTATTTACAGGCTAAGAATATGCAAGTGCGTTGGTGGCATAGCGATTAGGACGCTCACCGACCATGCACATGGTGCGGGGTTCGATCCCGGGCCACAAACGCACTCCCTCACCTCGCTAAGCTAGAAATAATGCTAGTAAAAAGGAAAGGTTGGGCATGAGGCTAGCAACCCCATCCTGTAAAATAAAAACACTGCTACAGAAGCTTCAAGCCTCTAGCCTGAAGCCCTAAGTTCCACTGGGGAACATGAAGACAAAAATTGGAAACCTTTCAGAAAAATTCATTCTTGACAGTTTTATTTCTTAGTACATAAACAACATAGAACTAATGGACTGCGAAAAATTTTTCAAGGAATTCTAGG